CGATTAAGGAAAATCATTTGACAAAATTCAACTCGCATTTATGAAGAAAAAATTAAAGGCAACTTCTTTCACTTACTAAAAGACAGCTACTCAAAACCTATAGCAAACATCATTCTTACTGAGAAGATACCAAAGGCCTCCCCTCTGAAAATCAGAAACAAGCCAGAGATGTCCACGGCTCATTTCTACCTGGCACTGCATTTGTGGTGCTCGCCAGCTCGGGAAGAAAAAAGAAGAAAACTAGATCCCCAAGCTTCACCCTCTTTTTGAAAATTAATTAATTTATTTTTCAAATGAAGTTTATTGGTGCATTTTAGATATACATAATGGTCATATTCATCAGAGGTAATTTGTCCCTACATATATTTTGATTCTTCTTTTTTTCTCATCCCCTTTCCTCCCTTCAATCCCTCTTCCCTTCCTTATGTATAAAGCTTTGTTTCCCTCTTATCCTTTGTTAAATCTTTTTTTTCCTTTTCCTTTCCTTCCTTTGTCCCTCCCCCCACCTAGTTCCGCTTTCCTTTTGAACAATTTCTTCCCATTTCACAATACTGCACATCTTAGTCCTTATTTATTCTTTTGGTTTCTCCCACCAGGGTTTTTACAGAAGCACTAATCTCACGAGAGCAAAGCCCTCATGACAATCCTTCCCAGAAGGCCTCACGTCTTCATGCTATCCCACTGGACGTTAGGGTCCTCCGTGAGTTTTGGAGGGATTCACATATCCAAACCATAGCAGTACCCACCCTGAAAAAGCCACAGAGTTGGCTTCCTGGAAAACAGACAGCTATGTACATTGAGGGCAAGATGATAAACAATGTCTTTTGTTCTGATGAACACTTATGTTTTATTTTACATCGCTTGTTGGTTACAAGAGTTACCTGTGGTATGTGGAAATCCAGAGGAAGGAACTATCCTTTCTTCATGAACTCACATAGACTGAATTCACAAAGTCACTAGCAAGTCAATTCAGGCTGCTACTAAGGTTGTCCATCGAGGCTTTACTTAGTAATTTCAGTTTTTATTCATTTGAAATGATGAATGTGCTAAAAGAAGACAACTATAACTATGTTTTGTTTTGTTTTTGTCTTTTTGAGACAGGGTCTCACTATGCAGTTCAGGCTGGCCTTGAGCTCACTTTGTAACCCACGCTGGTCTCGAACTCCCAACAATCTTCCTGCCTCAGCCTCCAGAGTGCTGGGATTACAGGCATGTGCCACCATGCCTGGTGACAACTATAACTATGATAAAAGCAAATAAGGGTTAAAAAGTCTTAAACTGATAAGGAAATAATTGACACACATAAGTAAAGTGTGAATTGTGTGCTAGTCTGAAGGACAAACACCAAATAACATAATGTTACAGGTTTTATACTTAGACCAGTGTTTCTCTGCTTGGGTGACTGCTACCCTGTGAACACTGGGCAATATTTGTGGACATTTTATTTTATTTTTTAAAATTTTTATTTATTTATGTATTTATTTTGGTTTGTTTTTTTCTGGTACCAGGAACTGAACTCATGACCTTGGGCTTGCCAGGCAGGCGCTGTGCCGCTGAGCTAAATCCCCACCCCCCATTTTTTTAATTTTTACAACTGAGGGATGCTACTGGCATCTAATGGGTAAACGCAACAGATTATTCAGTTTTGTTTTGTCTTGCTTTGGTTTGGTTTTTGTTTAAGACAGGGACCTGTTATGTGGTTCAGCCTAGCCTTGAACTCACTGTGTACCCCAGGCTGGTTTTGAACTTGCTGTGATTCACCTGCCTCAGCCTCCCAAGTGCTGAGGCTCCCACGGACCTTGCCTGCTGAGATTAGAGGCATGCACCACCAGGCCAAACTTGAATTCTACACATCACACGACTAATAACCATCTGAGTCAAAACGTCAATACCGTTACTGCTGGAAAACCCTGGCCTGCACAGACAACGAACAAAAGACAAGCAGATGTAACTGACCGAATGGGAGACCTTAGACCACAGAGCTCAGGGACCCTCACCATTAACTCTGGTGAGATTACTTGAGGAAACTACTGAGTTGTAGAACATAAACGCTGGGCATGCATTATGGCACTTGTACTATGTTAGTACAACAGCTCATGCAACACAGGCAAGTAGGGAAAGAGGCAGTAAGTGTAGATGCCAGAACCGCCAGGACGTTCCCCATAATCTTGTAGCCATCGCTAACAATTGTAATAACTCCAGTTAACAGATTTTCAGTGTTCACTTTTGAAAAACAAAATTCTGATGAAATATACCAGAAATATGGAGGTGAGAAGCCCTGATTTTAAAATTTCAAAGGAGAGCTCGCTCTTTGAATATGGTAGGAATAGATCATGGTGCTGTAAAGGGGTAAACACCTTTACTAACCCCCAACTTAGGAATAAATTGACTTAAGGGGACCCAAAGTACTGGTATATGAATAAATTTTTATAGCGAGGTGTCTTTGGTACACAAGATTTATTAAAAAAAAAACTTGTTAGTTGATAAGGTTAGAATAAAAAGTGAGGGGAAAGTGGTGAAAGTTCAAACCAGGCTAAGAAATTCATACACTAATCTGCAGGGATAGGGGCTGGGGACTTAGCTCAGCGGCACAGCGCCTGCCTGGCAAGCGCAAGCTCATGAGTTCGATTCCCAGTACTGGAAAAAGAAAAAATATCTGCAGGGAGTTTTGTCTTTAAAGAAGGAAGTGATGTGGTTGATTAGAGGTCAAGGTTTTAAGGTTCTGTCACAATGTTGAAGGATTTAAAAAGTCAGAAAACTCAAACCGTAAGACCAGTGTGAAAGCTATGAACTGGCAGAAGCGACACAAAGGCCCATTCCGGAGCCCTGACATTTATAAATGTATGAACGTCAGGACCCAACATCCACTAAGTGTACAGAATGAAGCCTTAGAGAGGCATCAACAAAACAAAGGCAAATCGATAAAAAGAAAATGAGTCTAAAAATGAAATAAGAATGTGACACCCAGCCAGGCATGGTGGTGCGCACGTGTAACCCCAGCACTTGGGAGGCTGAAGCAAGAGAATTTCCATGAATTCAAGGCCAGCCCAGGCTACATAGTGAGTTCAAAACTCACCTAAACTACATAGCAAGACCCTGTCTCAAACAAAACAAAACAAACACACAAAACACACACACACACACACACACACACAAAAACAGTGTGACACCCTAATAAGACATATGGTAGGAAAAATGAACCAGTTTACCTTTCAATTTCTCTTGAAATCGTGCCATAGTACATGTCTTCTTAGTCTTCTTTATCCTAAGAATTATATATTATTATAAAATCGCTCATATATAAATATAGAATATGTATTCACTTTCAAAGATACAAAGCTGGGCATGGTGGCACACACCCATAATTCCAGCACAGGGAGGCTGAGGCAGGAGGATTGCTGTGAGTTTGAGGTCTACCTGGGCTACAAAGTGAGTTCAAGGCCAGGCTGAACTACATTGTGAAACCCTGTCTCAAAAACACACCAAAAAAAAAAAAAAAAAAGAAGAGGCAAGCAACAAATATACAGTGAAACACACTTGGTGGTCTTGATTTTTGTTTTTTAGTGCTGGGGATCAAACACTGGGCCTTGAACATGCTGAGCACAAACTCTACCACTGAGCTACACCCCAACACTAAACTAATTTGTTAAAAGATACCATATGGAAATTAGATAAATGGGTAAAAAAAAACCCTCCATTGTAGCTAATCCAATCAGAGACCTACACGCTCATCTTGGCATGCCTCCACACGCAGCTTCTACGTCTTTATTACAACTCCTTGTGGTCAGGACCCAAGCAAGGAGGGAAGTCAAGAGTGACAGGTTATGTGGATGTGTCAGATATCAAGGATTCCTTCTTTGTGTACTTTTAATCGATTGATCCCTGCAATCTGAAATTTATGATAATTAACTTTTTAAGGAAAGTTTTATTAGAAATAAGGAGAAGGAGAATAGCTACTGGATTTCCAGGAAGGGTCCTGAATGGGGTGGCCCTCAATTAACTTTTGCTCCAACTGTAATAGACCTTGATATTAACAAGATTATTAGGGGAAACAATTCTGACTGAACCATCCTAAGAATTCCAGATTTTTTATAATCATATTAAATTTAAAAGTCAGCAGCAACTTTTAAATACTCTTGACCTCTGAGGTTGCTATTATGTTATAGTTCCCCGGTGTGCTGTGAGATTCACTGAAAACTCTTGGTCACCTTTCACAAATTTGAGAAAACATGAGACTTGTGTCAGAGCTTTTAAATCAAATATTCACATATGGAAGGAGAAAAAGAAACGAAGGGGTTTACACACAGGACGAACAAACAAGAGTACTGCCCTCCTTTGCCAAGACTGGTCCTTCACCCAGCACTGCGCAGTGTGCAGAGGGGAATAAAACACCTGCAGGCAGCCGGCCATGTTCTCGCGAGAATGGCTACAATGAAGACGGGTGTGAAGAAAGAGAGTGTACGGTCTGCAAGGCGTCATGTACTTTCAGTAACCTAGTCAGCACTATTCCGCTTTATATATAACGGACACTTGTCATAGCACGAATAAAATGCATTTAGATTATCCTTCATGCAAGTCAATGTCAAATGTTTAGAAATAATTTCCAAAAAAAAAATCACAAATGTAAAACCAACAAGCCAAACTGAAAGAGAGAGAAACAGCAAGATGCAAAATGAAGGCTCAGAACTGAGAGGTCAAACGGGCTCACTCCAGGGGCGCCACCCCGGCTTCCGGTTTCTTTACACACTGAATCCACGTCCCGGCCACGCAGGCCTCTCCACCCCTCCCCCTCCTCAAAGGACGCTGGCAGGACAATGGGAGGGAGTTGGTGTGGGGACACTGGCTTCTTGGTAATGACGGGATCTGACAGTCCTCAGCAGGGCTTATGCTCATGGTTCCCCTTCTTTCTATCCTTGTCACCTTTCCTCTTCAGTGTGTGTGTGTGTGTGTGTGTGTGTGTGTAAGACACTGGAGTTCGAACTCAGGGTCCTCACCCTGAGCTACACTTCCAGCCCTTTATTTTTTATTTTTGAGATAGGGTCTCACCAAGTTGATAAGTAGCCCAGGTTTGGCTCAAATTTTCAATTGTCCTGCCTCAGCCTCCCAGAATGCTGGGATTAGAGCCATGCTCCACCACACTTGACTAAGAAATACAAAAGTCCACCAAAAAATGTATACATCGGGTAAAGAAAAACTTGTATAAATATTTTTTGTATAAATATTTTAATACTAAATTGATTGAGACATCGTGAGATCAATGCAAATTACCTTTGGCCTCTATAATTAGAAGAGATGCTCAAAGTGGTGGCCATGGGCTTCCAGACATTTATTAATATGGCGAATTGCTGAAGTGTATATACATTTTTTTTTGTACCGGGAATTGAACTCCGGGCCTTGTGCTTGCTAGGCAGGCATCTGTGCCACTAAACTATACCCATATATATGTACATCTTTTGGCACACTGCATGTTCTAAGATTCCAGTCATGAATGCTGCATATGATGGGATGACTATAAAGTTAGCTATGGCAGGAAGATAACATGAAAATATAAATACTCCCCTAAAGAAAGTTGCAACTTAGAATGCCATAAATACCTCCAATTTTTAAGGCTGGCAAAGTGAACAAGTAGTAGACATTCAATAACCAGCTGATAGATAAACAAACAAACAAACAAATAAATTGACATTGAACAGAATGTGAGACTTTATTAGTTACAGATAACTTCTAGATAGATCTTTTAGGGAAAGGTTTTCTTTCACTGGAACCCTGGTCTGATTTATGACAAGGAAGTGGGAAGTGTTTCTAAATAGTAATAATTCAAAGTCAGGGCGATTTCTCTGGCTCAAAAGTTCATTCCTGATAGTGAGTGTTGAGTTTTAATGAGGCCAGGACATCATTCAGAATCTTTCCTAGCACTGCCTCAGTCACTCTAGAAGCACAGGATTTGATATTCAGGGGACAGAAACCTGCTATGCTGCACAGAGTTAAAATTTTTCATGCTAAATATCCCAGCGCTCTCACAGGCATGATCTAGGCAAAGGCAATCAGATTCTTTTAAAGGAAGTCTTCACCCCTTTTCCGCCAACAGCACTGGGAAACAGAAAAGTGGCTACTTGTCAATCTGAATAAAATGGCTAACTTAGATTTCATCAATTAAAGCAGGCAAGAAAGAACTAGATCATTGGCCAGAACGGCCTCTACATTCAGCAGTATTACTACAAATGGACACCCAGCAAGAGTGGGATAGCAATGATCTACCTGATTGTAGGCATCTCCGTGGGAGCATGCAGTAGCTGTCTGTGAACCTCCACTGGAGATGAACTTACACCCTTGTGGCAACTTGGCAATCTTGGTAAATGTGGCACTTTGACATATTCTTCAGGCTCTTCTAGAGCAAATGTTGTGGTGTATTCTAATTAAAAAATATTATCACAAGTAGCTTGGTCAAATATATACCATTTTTACTGTATACTAAAATGAATAATAAAATGTAACATATCAATCATCAAGTAAAGAAAGTAAAGCAATTATAATTTACCTAGGGCCTTTCCCCGGAGAATATTTTTCAAATTTTACCAAAAAGACTAGAGGAAGAAGATTAAATTGATTAAGAAGAACTAGAATAAGGAAAAAATGACAGCTTCCCAGATCTTCAACTGTCACTGCCCATTACCTTCATTATTTTATTAAATTAGAATTAGCTAGAATAGCCAGGTGTGGTGCATGCCTATAATCCCAGCACTCAGGAGGCTGAGGCAGGAGGATCATTGTGAGTTCCAGACCAGCCTGGGCTACAAAGTGAGCTCAAGGCAGCCTGAACTGCATAGTGAAACCCCGTCTCAAAAAAAGACACACAAAAAGAGAATTAGCCAGAATGTTAGCATCTTATTTAAATAAAAGCAGCTTCAAGAGTCATAGAGGTAAAAAAAAAAAAAAGTCATAGATGTAAGGATAATTTTTAAATTTTCTTTATTAATATCTATTTGTATTACATTAAAATTTTTTTAAAATTTTAAAAAATAAGTATTTCAAAAAAAGTCTTGTATTATCTACTACTGTGAATCGTTCCACTTTCCTGTTTTATGTAAATAATGAAGAGGTATGAATACATGACGACCTGAGCTAACAGGGAAAGACTCGCAGTTAATGACTGGTGCGGTGCAAAGGCCGAGAGATTACTTGGGCTCGCTGCCCAGTTTAAACTCCAGGACAGCACAGAGGGCCGCCTTAACCAAGACCTCACAGCCTGAGAGCGTCTCAGGAAGAACCAGCCCCAGATGGAAGCTTCTGTGGCTCTTTGTCGATAGAACCAGGAAGCAAGGATAAAGGACAAAGTATGTCTGTGCGGGATTTCATGTAGGGGACAGGGTGGTCTGCTCTGTGACAGACCTTAGGGCCAATCTAAGTAATACATGGGAGTACGGGCAGAACAAGGGCCAGAAGGTCCATTCTCTAAGGCAATGTGTTTTGATCCTTCTTGGACTTGTGGCCCTGTCTGCTATCTTTCAATCTTTATGCATTCCAGGAGGTTTGGGGCTTGTGTCCCCAGAAGCCCCTTATCTCTGCATATCTGTCTCATAAATACTGTAGCCAACACCTCCACAAAACATAAAGGGATTTTACCTTAGGTATTAATTTTCTCTCCATGAAATACTTTTTGGAAGGGTACCAGGAATTGAACTCAGGACCTCTCACTTGCCAGGCAGGTGAGCTAAACCCTCAGCCCCCCAAATTTTAGACTAAATCTATAAATAGCAAAATTTAAGTATCCATATTGCTGCTTCTACTGACCTCACATATCAATAGACAAAGAGATCATCAAATTATTTTTAAAAATATGAAGCCAAGGCATTAAATGGGTACAGCCGATGAAGATATGGAAGTCTGTGGTCTTTAAGCACAGAACATTGTTGGGGTAAGCTTCTACTAAGCAAGTCTGGCACTGCAGCATAGTATTTACTGAGATTGGAGTTATCACATCAGACATCAAAATGCTACTTGGCAACCTTTGATTTTTTTCTTCTTTTGGAAAAAGTATTTTCTCTTTCTCAGAAACACACATTCACTTTTCCACAATAGATTTGGAGAGCTGGAGCATGAACCAGCTGGTGTCTTTTGC